GATAGCAATAAAAATTTGTGTTGGGCAGTATCGATACCAAAAGGACTCGGAACTCGATTCGCGAAAGGATCGACAGCATCCAATTTTTAAAAGTATCGATACTGAGTACTCCAAAGTACCCAGTACTCACAAAAGAACTCGAAAGTACTCAGAACCTAAAAGAACTCGAAAGTACTAAGCAGAAATTATTACACTCAATTTGAAGTCTCAATAGTTTTAAAGAAGCCATTCATTTGACGTAATTTGGGATTAATATATTAATTTGAATAAAGTGCTACCAGCTTATGAGATTTCTACACTAATCATTGAAATGTTACCACCAAGTGTATATTTAAAGAAAGTACTCAGTACTCTGAAAAATACGCGATCCTTAAAAGTATGGATACCAAAGAACTCGATCCTCAAAAGTACTCGATATTTCCCAACACTAAATAAAAATGTTGTTGTTGTAGCGGCTACTAAACCCCACTCGGGTCGTTTCATCCATCAACGTTGTCGTCTGTTTCAGCTAAGGGGAGGCCCAGGAAGTGCGCAACTTCAACAGGATCTGTTCATAGGGACAATTGTTGAATTTGTTTACTAAACAAGTGTTTATTTTCCGTTTTTGCAACATGTTTTTGCAAAACCGACCATCGACCAAATTTTACAGGAGAGCGCACTTCCTTAAAAAATAATGCCGGATTTCCACCAGGCATTAATGGGTCGATTACGGATAGCAACGCAACCACGTTTCGGTTGCTAGCCGGCAACGCAACTGGAAAAAAAATTTGTATTACGAATGGCAACTATCGTTTGACAGTTCGGCAACCGGCAAGTGGTTGTAAACAAGCTGTGCTAGTAAAATGAAATTATTAAAATAAAGGGTTTTAAATAAAAGTCAGCAATAATGCTAAGTTCAGTTCAATTATTTGTTTAAGAAGAGAAGTGCAAGAACGCGCGAATCATGCGACATTTAAAGGATAGCTCCAACCCTCTAAGAGCTACCGCCGGCACTGCAAGCACTGTTTTATTTTATCTTTTTGTGTTCACATTCAAAGCATATTCCAGACATTCAAAAGAAGCTGTAGTATATTTGGTTAATGCACAGAGAAACGACTTCGATCAACTTCAATACCTCCCCTCCTAAAAGCTTGCGCACCTCTTCAATTTTTATCAGAAGGAAGTCCCACTGCAATCACTTCAATTTAGGGAATTCGGTATGACGGTAGTTTTAAAAGAAGTACTTGAGTTGATAGAGGAAAAAAATATGCAGTCAGTTCACTTTTGATTCTCCAAAAGCACGTTCATCACGAGAACTGAAATTTCAAATTGTTGTGTTGTGGTTATTTTCACGATATTATGTAAAAGCAAAATACATTGCATACTAAAATATTTGACATGCTTTTCAATTTTTGCTCCTAAATAGGCTCCAAAAAACTTCCCAGCAACCACACAAATGTAGTTGCCTGAATACACACTTTGTGGCAACTGCAGTTGCCAGTTTAGAGTTGTCAGTTGCCATCTGTAATATCGTTTCGACAAGTAGCAACGCAATTAAAGTTCGGTTGCTATCGATAATCGACCCATAAATTATCAGAAATGTCAATGGCAAAGTTAGACATTGAATAAAAGTATGTTCCACATGACATTGTTTAAAAGCCACACATTTTTTGAGCTATTGGAAATTTAACTCAAGGAATGTAAAATAATCGATTTTTCTGGCTCAAAACTTGCTTATAACTTACTTGCTATATTTAATAAAAACTTGTTTAGAAGTTATTATTTGGTTTTCACTAAACATTCAACCCTTAATTACAATTATTTAAGAAAAATCAAATAAGTGACCACAATAATTCTCAGAAAGTTACTATATTATCTGATTTGCATATGATAATTTTCTCTTATATAGGGATGATGAAGAGGCAACAGGTGGTGGAGACGACGAAGAAAATTCAGCTGCTGCTGCAGTACCCGTTAAGAAACCATCTGC